GTGTCAAAAAACCTGCCTCTAAATGGGGGAGAAAAAAAGTGTTCGCCCGACTATTTTCCCTTTCGCCCGACTCTACGCCACCACCACCACCACCACCACCACCACTACCATCGCCACACCACCCAGCGCGTTTCTGTTCTCTGCGTCCTATACGCTGCCCCTACCTCCAGGTACAGGTACTTCGAAAGCATCCCCTCCCGCGACACGTCGCCTCGTTCCTCTTACTGACTGATAGCTACTTTGATATGCGTGACTTCCTGCGATCCAAGAATACGTACTTACTTACTAACACGGATACGCGTGTTCCATTATGGACCACTTCGATCATTATCGAACCGAACTATAGCAGAATAAGAATGAAATTAAAAGTTGCTTGGACCAGATAATTTTAAGGATCGAATCCTGAACCGATACAAATTCTCTTTCGTTTGTAGACCAGATGATCTTAAAGATCGAATCTTGAAGCGATACGAATTCCCTTTTGTTTGCTGATGATCGAGAATTCAAAGAAGAGAATCGTATAGAAGCAAAATTATCGTAAATAGCATATAAAATTACTATTTATTAGGATTTAAGTTTAAATCAATACATAATAAGAACTAGTTAAAGAATTAGTGAAAGATTAGATACGATATAGCTTGTAACCTCAGATGTCAAACGATTTAAATACGAGTCCCTTTAATTACTTCACATAATGTTATTCCATCAAAAAGTAGAAAGTATAACGAATAACGAATATATCAATAAAGAATGGCTAATCGAATAAGTTCTTATGTAAACGACTATTTACATGATTATTATGTTACGAAGACTACGTATTTGCAATTTAGAAGATGTTTTGATTATCATCTGAAAGAATGATTAAAAACTTATAACGCTTAGTGCTGGTATTTTACACGAATGTAAATGAACTATAACAGTCTTGACAAGTTTAATAACAACTGCTTTTTTATGAAAATTGCATCATGCAGTCATTTAAAAAATAATATATGTAGTTCAAAACATGCTAATTTCATCAATTAAAATTTCACTCATATTAATAGAAAATTTCATTTAAAAAATTCCATAAAAAATCAAAATTTTAGTTGAATTATTCACTTTGTGAATTTATATTATCCAATGAATTCTTTTTCACATAATACCAATATAAATATAAAATGAAACGCTTCTAACTTTGTAATCTATTAATACGATTACATTTAAAGAGCATGTACCTACATGAAACACTCCCTTACATTGTTTATAAAATGGAATACGTTTATTCGACTCAATAGACAAATCATTTTATATAATTAGTGATGTAGAATCGCATTTACAAATGCCTTGATCTACCAACGTTAATAACTAGATTTACATAATTTATATGCTACATTACACGTATTTACATTACGTATAGAACACACAGGAATAAAAACATCATTCCAATACGTAGTGCTAATTATGACGCAAACAATTCTAAAGTATCTTGCTCAAACAGTTCCATCCCCTATTATTTTGAAATCTGTTATTGCACAAACTAAACTATAATAAAAAATGTTGCGTTATTTGGAGCACGGCGTTTCGTCACAAATCCTTGATTAATTATCTAAAATCGTCAAATCCAATGATTTCCTAGTCGTCTACAGAAGTGTATCTAATCAATGATTTACAATGATATTCGGCCTTAAATTACCATACTATCGCAAGCAAACGTGAGAAAAGAATTTGCAATAGACTTTTCTGTATCTCAATTAATAAGGAGATACGATCATAGGAATAGATAAAAGAATGGTTAAATAATAAACTTAAATATTTAAGGAAGGTTTTATCATAATTCGATAAAAACTACAGACAACGTCAAGTAAGTTAATAAAAGAATACAAAGAAAATAAAAGATGTTCCTTCTCCTGAATTATTATTGCATTACGCGTGCATTGCATCGCTTTCCCTTGACATTCTAATCCAGGAATAAAATCGATCGTTTGCGTTCCAATTCGAAAGTAGATCGCAAAACTGAACAATTACTTTTCCTAATAATCACACGGCTGCGCGCTTCCTGTCTATACTCCGTAATATAAGAAATATCGAGTTTTCGGATTGCAAGCGTAAAGAGTACATATTATTAACGGAAAATGAGGTTACATGGAACCCTTTCATAAAACGTTCCACTTTTCTTTGTATCCAACACATACGCTATATATACGTTAAACTCGATTGTTCGAAATAATAATAACAATGTTTGACTGGTTATTGTTATATGGTGAATGTTTTGCGATTTCAATGACATCTCGAGTCGAAGTTCTGCACATAAAAGAGCGATTCGATTTTCGGCAAGGAATTGTATCTACAATTAGTCAAAATACAAATTAATTTAATAGTAAGAAATTCTGAAAAGAAATTTTTTCTGTAGCCTTCTATAAATTACATTTAGATTATTTTGACACGGACTTTACACAAATATCTTTATGTCTTATTAGTGTCTCCTTTGTTGAAACGTATGTATGTGTCAATAAATATCAACAACAAGAAGTTATTGTTAAGATGTCGTTGATAATAACTATACATATACATAAATTTTTAAATAATTCTTAGAAAATAGTAGCTAAAGAAAACAACAAGTGTGCTAACAATCATTTAAAGATTTGAATTAGACTTTGATGATGTTTTAGAAACATATCTAAAATTTTGCTATTTGATTTTTAATTAGTATTGTGTGTATCTTACGTAAGTACTACTCGCAATGTAATAAACATGAATAATGGTATATTCATCAATATTGATAAACAAACGAAAGAGATAAACATATTATTAAACCATAATGTCTGTGAAAAAGTAATTTATCTACAACTCCACAAAGGAAAGTAATATAGCAATTTATTACGTCTTTTAAGTAAATCTTCATTTACAAGTAAATATGCATATCAATGGATCACGTATAAGAGAGGACGCTACATATATGACAAACAAAATTCTCAATTCACGTTACGAAAAGTAGCTAAAGATTTCAAAACATTATTCGTACGTGAAAAGAAAAATACAAGATTTTTATTTTGTATATTTGTAATTACATACATACATATTTTTCTATGGAATTGCTAACTTTGTTGATAAAACAGAATGATCAAACATAGATCACGTCAATGTAATAGAAAATAGTCGTCATAAATAAAGCCACGTACTCGTGAAAATTTAGTTAGTTAATTTGTGAAATCTATTGGATATTTTTACTTCCAAAATGTAAAATTTTAATAGAAAAAAGTTTTAATAGAAAAAAAACAATTTTAAGCTAACGCTTCATATGTTTCAGTAGAAAATATCCATACCGACAGTTCTTAGAGTCAGATCTACAATAGTCAACAAATGTAAGAACAGACGAGATATGTATAAGTCGCTTAATCTGTCACATAATGAACAGCGATGAAATCGCTCGTGTAATCAATCAATTATGACGATACCACCTATGATAATGGAATTATCTGAGAAGTATATATCAATCTCTTGCAATACCATGTAAAATTCATTACCTTAAAACTGTTTATGGAAAGAAGCGATAATATTTATAACCTTAATAACGTGACATGTGACATTTAATAAATAAATAGGTTGTATCCTTTTATTATATCGTTCATAATTTTTATCGTAACTTTAAGTTCATATTTTTAAAGTGTACAATATGGAAAAATTTTAATCGATGGATAAATACCGATAAACATATAATGAAACAAGTCTGGCAATTTACTTAAATCTTGTTCCTGTGAATTACATCTAACTCGAATTTATAGTCAATATTCTAAACCTCTCCCGCGCGCATTAGATCATTTTCTTAATCAAGAAAATACATTAGTTCTTTGTCATCACATTTTTTTTGTTCCACCATATTACTACTTATCTATTCACCTATCTATTAATGATGTACATATTCGTCAGTGTTTTATTCTTAAATAACTTCTACTGTTGTATGTACTATTTCTCATTAATAAAAATAATTTGTGTAATGTAAAAGAATTATTTGATAT